CACACACACACACACACACACACACACACACACACACACACACACACACACACACACATGCCTGAACATGATGCCACCGCCTGCTGTGTGCTCTAATGTAGAGAGGTGATTCCTAGAGCTCCTAAACTGAGCCCCCAACCCACCAATGGCATTTAAACCAAATGGGGACTCGACTTTTGTCCCCAAATGCACCAGTTGTCCCAAAAGGTAGGCACTTTGTCCTAAAATTGCCGCCAAATGTCACCAATCCCCCCCCCACCCCAAACACACACACACACACACACAATGAACTTACTTGGTCCTTTGGTTGGAGGTCAGGGAAGATGCAGAACAATGATGTGTGTCGAAAGAAAAAGAGTATTGTTTAAAAATTTATTTTCCAGAAACAGTTTATAATCCACAAAACTACTGATACAAAAACATAAAAATAAAATGAGAGCTTTAGAGAAACAAGAAAGCAAATTTATATAAATACCATCAAAAAAGTTTGTAACATAAAATGTTTTAAGTGTTGCCCAAACTGCAGTGAGCTGCAGGAAAAAATTATTCTGTTTTTCATTGAATGTTAAAACAGTTCTAACAGTTTATTTTTTTTCCAAAATCAAGACACAGTACCTGTAGCTGCAGTGATGCTGACTCCACTACTTCTGACGTTCTCAAACACAGAGAAGACAGTGAAGGTATATTTAGTTCCAGCAGTGAGAGATGAGACGGTGTACGTTACTGCTCCGACTCCATCTGATGAACTGATGTTTGTCTCTGAGTTATTAAACTGGAGAATAAAGCTGACACTGCTGTTCACTTTATTCCACCGCAGAGTGATGCTGGTCTCATTTTGAGTAGTAGCTTTGAAACCATTTGCATTCAGAGGAGCTGAGAAAGAAAAAGCAGTGAGCAAATTTATTAAGTGAATAAGAAATACTGCAAAAAGGCAGCATTTTATTTGTTTTCTCTTTTTTATGTCATACTTGAGGATGAAGTTCACAAAGGACAAATACCAGCGGTAAAACTTTTTTTAAATCACCAGTTTAAATGCTTAATAACTTCTATCATATAAAGATCAGAAGGGTTTTACTGCTGTTTATTCAAGGTTTTGTCATTAAAGATTGTTGTTGAATTCAACAGAACTTGTAATATGTCATCTGAAATGTACAATTATTCTACTTTAAGCTGGTACAACCTCACAACCAAAATTGTTCTTTTTGAAATCCTTTGTAAATATCAATGAGTATGTTTGTCATATGATACATGAAGGCACAAAAACATCTCACCAGTGACAGCTGTAAGTTGGACTCCACTGCTTCTGATGCTCTCAAACACAGAAAAGAGAGTGAAGGTATATTTAGTTCCAGCAGTGAGAGATGAAACTGTGTACGTTACTGCTCTGTCTCCATCTGGTGAAATGATGGTTGTCTCTGAGTTGTTAAACTGGAGAACAAAGTCAATGTTGTCGTTCACTTTATTCCACTGCAGGGTGATGCTGCTCTCAGTTTGGGCTAAAGTGTTGAAACTATTTGCATTCAGAGGAACTGAAACAGAAAAAGCAGTGAGCAACTTCATTAAGTAAATGGAAAAAATATATTTACTAGTTTTAAATTTATAGTTTACTCATTTTATTGTTCGTACTGTGAATCAGTGTCAATTAGAAAAAAATACCTTAAAGGACAAACAGCAGTGGTAACACTTTATATGTTTTTGAAAAGTCCTAATAGCTTCTAACATTTTAAAAAACAGCAAGTCTTTACTGTCATTTATTCAAGAATTGTCTTTAGAGTTTGTTGTTAACTTCAATAAAACTGGTAAAATGTCAAAGTACAGTTATTCTACCTTAAGAAGGTACAAGCTCACAACCAAATTTAACCAAAATAGTTTCAATGGAATTCTTTCATAAATTTCAGTGGACATGTTATTATRTTGATGACAGACATAAGGACTAAAACATCTCACCAGTGACAGCTGTAAGTTGGACCCCACTGCTTCTGACGTTCTCAAACACAGAGAAGAGAGTGAAGGTATATTTAGTTCCAGCAGTGAGAGATGAGACTGTGTACGTTACTGCTCCGTCTCCATCTGGTGAACTGATGTTTGTCTCTGAGTTAT